TGTGTGTGTGTGTGTGTGTGTGTATGTGTGTGTGTGTGTGTGTGTGTATGCTTTTATGTATTGCCATAAATTCAGATTTTTGTAGATATTTCCTTTTCAAGCAATGCAATCTCTGTCTCTCTTCCTTCTCCTTTCTTCCCTGTATCTCTCTCTCTCTCTCTCTAACTCATACACAGTGTTGTAATTAAACTATCATTTTCCCATACATGACTGCACTCATTCAGTTACCTATGTATGACGAATAATAGTTTCAGTGATCAAATTGGCCCTAAAACACATAGGTGTGATATCAGAATTCAATATTCTGTAACATTTCACTATATGAAAAATTAGCAAATGTCATTTCTGAAACTGGTACAGAAGTCTCTAGAGTAAAAGAAACAACCTGTTGTTACCGAGTGAAACCTACAAAACATATTTTCAAATCAAAGTCTGCTATTCATGTAATGGGATAAACCATGTTGAAATATAAAATCACTGAATATTTATCCAATAAGTGATTGATTGACAAAGTACAGAAGCATGAATGTTTTCTTTTAATTTTGCTCAAAACATTTTAAAAAGTGTAAAATAAGATTATGATTTTTTCTCAAAGATTTCTTGATGATTTCTGCAAAGATAATATAACTTGACAGACATAAAATAATATTTCTTCTTACCTTTCATGGGTTCCTCTAGACTGGTATGTGTTAAATCATAAGATCTTCATTCAGTCTAGGAACTGAAAAATTAACAAATCTTATGATTTGCTTTACTTGGTTTGGTTAATATACATTTATTTTTAGCATAGAGAAATTGGTTTGCATATTGCAAAGTTATTACCTTAATAATCAATATTAGCATTCTATCCTGGAGTTATATCCTGCTTTCTTACATCTAATGGTTCTCTCTCTGTCTTTGTCTGTCTGCCTTTTTTAAAACACATATTGAGTTATTTCATCTTCATTATACATTTGGTCATATAAATAAACATAATAAATCATTATCATTAATCAAAATCACTATACACTAAGAAACATTTTTGGCTTAAACTTCTGTTCAATCCATGTCCTGTATCTGCTTGCAAATGTGTAGATACCAAGTGCTTCTTGCTGGTACCAGCTGAAATATCCTATTATTGTAATACTACAACTTTAAAGGATTTAAATGCATAGATTACTATTATTTCACAAACACATAATATATTATTGAACTACTTTTTCACCATTTCCAGAAACACTTAAGATGAATGAAGTAGAGGAAAGCACCCCCTTAGAGATCAAAGTACATTCACTGATAAAAATAATAGTCATAGGAATAATGAATCATAATACTGTCAACGATACTGTTAACAACAAAAATAAAGAGAAAAAAGGAACTATTTTATTAAATATAAATACATACAAAGACAAGACACCACAATCATATATGAAACATCTGGTATCATTTGAACAACCTGGAATTTTCTTAAAAAATGAAAGCATCAATAATCTACATTCTTATACATTATTATTATCTGTAAGGTACAGCAAGTTACTTACTGTATAATGAAAATACATTAAATCCTTGCTTAAATCTCACACTGCAGCCAATGAAAGCTCACAATAACACTTCATAATTCAATACATGCTTATCAATAATGGATTACTCTACATCTTGAATTTAATAAATCCATCTCCATTACACATTTACTCACATGATTCGACATAAAATATTTTTATAAAAAAGCTAGTCAAAATCAGTCTCTTTCATTACAAAATATCCTTAAATCATCAGACATGTATACATATTTTTTTCATAATGAATATGTGCACTACAATTGAATATAATCTTTTGGAAGAATTATAAACCTAATCATGGATGTATGAGGCTCTACCAGTTATCACATGTACTATTAATTCTAATATTCAAGTTTCAAAAAGCATGGAATAAACTCTATGAAAACAGTAAATTGGTGAATATGTAATACTGGTACAAAACTCACCTACTCTTTATATTGATTCCATTTCAAGGAATGCATCAAAGAGGTAAATGCATTAAATCAACTGTTAAGCAGAAGTATCATCAACCTAATAATCAAGTTCATTTTTTAAAATGTTTTGAGACTGAATTTTCAAAAATTAATTTATGACTGATGAAGCTGCCAATTATCTCTTTTGACCACTGTTATTTCCTGAGTGTATACCTAATACAGTATTAAGAAAATGTAAACAAAAAATTACTTTCCAAATAAAAATAGACATTCATTCTCAGAAGTGTATTAGTTCTTTTTAAAGAAAAACATAAAATCATCACTATTTCTTGTCCGATTACCTTCATGACCAGCCTCTCAATACTGTTAAACCAAAATCACTATATTCTAAGAAAAGAAACTCATTTATGGCTTTAAGTTCTGTTCAATCCATGTCCTGTAGCTGCTTACAGATGTGTAGATACCAGGTACTCCTTGTTGGCCGCAGTTGACAGGACCGTAGGAGACAATGCCAATCTGCTGGTAGGGAGGACCAAAAGTGCCGGCAAGTACCAAGGGGCCACCTGAGTCTCCACCGCATGAGTCTTCACCAGCGTTCCCACCGGCACAAATCTGAAAAAACAAGATTAAATTGTACAGACATATATTGAGAATATTTCTGACAAGTTTAGATTATCATGAATTTTAATAATTTTTTAGTCCTTGTATATAACTTGAAAATGCTTGAAAGGCCGCAATATTAAATAAGATAAATAAATGAATATAATATAAATATACACATCAACTGTATGAAGGTATAGATATCAGTCAACAACATACATGGTTAACTATATTGTTTTGAATCTTCATATTTTCTCATATGAGCTAACAACTATCACAATGCATAAATCTGAATGAATTTACCTGTTCACTGACTATATTGCCACTGTAGATCTGACTACACTGGGTATTATCAAGCAATGGCAGCTTTACATGCTTAATTCTGTCACTTGTGGATCCAGTCTCAGTGAAGCCCCATCCAGCTGCAATTGCTGATTTGTTACCAGCTGCTGTGCGAGGAGAGAAGTCAGCAGGAGGCAGGCACACAGGCAACACAAATCCTGGAAAATTGTAATGATAAATACCATATAAGATTAATATATTAGACTACTACTATACATATCTACTGTTTTTTTCACTCCTCTTTAATGTCTGTGCAAACTAGTGACTCCATTTACAGGTGAAATCTATTATATACTACACCGTCTAGCTTCTAGTATATTTTATGTGATATGTGTCATGTCCACCCTACATTTTCCAATTACACTCATCTCTCTACTATATATTTCATTTGCTTACAATTATGAATAATAATAAAAATTAATCCTGGTCATGTTATGCCAAAAGCTCATCTTGGTCAACTTACCTGCTGATTCCTGGAAGTTAATGGGTCTGTTAAGTCTAACAAGTGCAATGTCATCGGAGAAACGCACACGAGTGTTGTACGAAGGATGAGCAATAATTTCCTCGGCCTCGAAATCTTGAACTGGAGGAGCACAGAATAACCCACCGCCATTTGTGCTCTCACAGTCTTCAGTAGTGGTGAGGTCCCATTCACCCAGTCGAACTACTTCCCTGCACAGAAAGTAATAATGAGAATGCTTTGCTTAAGCCTTCCATTGCATAATTTATCAATTCCTTGTATGGAAATAATTGGAATAGCTTTTATGTATCTGCATTTCCAATAGTAACCTTTGTGAAAACAGTAAAATGGTGAATATGTAATACTAGTATAAAACTCACCAACTTTGTATGCTGTTTTGATTTCAAGGAATGTATCAAAGAGATAAATGCATTAAATCAACTATTAAAGCAGAAGTACAATCAACTCAATAATCAAGTTCATTTTTCCTAATCATAATAACATTAATAATCTTTTCATCTAAAACAACTTACAATCTCCGTGTGCCAAGTGTACCAGGATCCACACAATGGGCAGCAGTGAGAACATATCTCTCATTAATGACTGACCCTCCACAGAGAAATTCAATGCCAGGTAATCCAATATCTGAAATTATGAAAGCATTAAAATGAAATATACAAACAAATGCAAAAACAACAAACATTTAGTTGTGTTTTCTTTCAAAAAGAAACAATTTTAATTTAGGATACTTTGTTACATTTGGTCTTGACAGAGGTGATATTTATCATAAAAAGTAATCATATAATATGCATATAGCATATTCCATACATCCATGAAATATTTCAAAAATGAAAACATTGACAATAAATAACTCCATTTACATATCAATTAGAAAATCAGATCATATAGACTATCAATTATGAAGAAATTTGATGTCATTTTCACACTTTTTTTTTCTTTCTTTTTTTACCTCTGTATCCTAGAACAGCCTTCCATGGGTATGCATCAAGTGGAGCTACTTCTCCACCTATAATTCTGTTCAAGTGAGCACTGTGACCACAATTTTCTGGGAGCAGAGACTTTGTGGGAAGTGTAGGTGTCTCAGTTGTAGTTGTAGATGGACAGCATACCTAGGGATGAGTGAAATATCTATTTATAAGTATTATGGCATGGTAATCACAGTATTCAATAAGCATTATTCACATAAATTCATTGATTTTCATAACCCATATAACATACCATAGGTACCCTATTCCGGACAAAGCAGGTAGCCTCTTGTAGCTTCTTGATATTGCTTCGTGTAGGATCTTGTAAAAGTCTCAACAAAGGAGGACATTCCCGAAGTGAGATACACTGACTGCTTACACAATCTGCACCTGGAAATGGGTGGGATCAGATTAGCGATAAAGAAACGTGCTTTTGCATATCTGCTAGCAATACATGTAAGAATCCTAACTACATTAATAAACTGAAAATCATATAATTTACTTGATAATTTGTTATCCAGTAATCTCACAATAAATTTGGCAAAGAAAAAGAAAAAGAAAGAAGAAATATATGTACATATGCAATTAAAATTTTCTGTCTACACATAAACTTCAAAATTAAAATTTTCTAATACATGTACTAAACCCAACCCTGAAAGCACATAAAAGGATAATTTCTTTTAACCAGACTCAGGAACTTGTTACACTTTTGGTGTAGATAATTATCATAATATGATGTCAGTAGGCTTTGTAAAAATACTAATCTATTCAGCATACACCCAGATATTCCTTATTATTAAAAAAACATTATTAAAAGTCATAGAAAGATTAATATAGCACTCTGGTATTAAAGTCAAAAAAAGAAAAAAAAAGAAAAGAAAAAAAGAAATGAAAAAAAAGTATTTATGTATGTATGTATATATATATATATATATATA